TGTGTTCCCAAAGAAATACCCGCACAATTGCTTTCTTCGTGTGGGACAAAGGTGCATACAAAGAGATACCTTATAAGGAGGCAAAGGAGGCATTATTTCTATTCATGCTTTTATATTAACAGGATTGAAATTGATAAATGAATGCAATATGATTAAGTCCACTAACACTGAAATGTAATACATGTTGACTTACAACTTCACTGCTAGGAATCTGTGCTTTATAAACACAGCACACACTGGAATAGTCTCCATGGCCTAACTTCTAGTAGCCCTGTAAGGGAGAGATTGTCACAGTTCACTTTCAATGTTTGGTGCTTAGAGTTCATCAGAGTTACAGGTAGACAGGAGGCGCAAGGCCTCCCTCCCCCGGCCAGAGGCTGGTACCAGCTGTCTGAGAACTCTGAGCATTGGAAAGTAACAGGCACTGTGCTGTATGACTATATGATCAGAAAAAAGAACAGTTTCATTAGTTCCAAGAGGAGGATAGGGATTTCTCAAGATTGGAAGACTTTAAAAACATCAAACTAATGTGCCAGCCATTCTCTATGCTATATCCCATTCAGCAGATTGTATATTAAATGCTGCTTTGTTTCACTAATCTCTTGAACATGTCATTATGTACTTCCAACATCTCTACAATTGGAAAGAAACAATCATTAATAATAATAGGAAGCTAGATTAAAACAACTGTCTCTGCAACACACGTGTGTGCGCATGTGTGTATGCATTTATACATGCATGTACATGCATCTTAAAAGCATTCCACATGGTTATTAAGACAACAGAAGAGGCTGTACATGCACTGTGTTTAGTGGCCCTGAATTTAGAATCAATGATGTTCTGGTAGTTTGGGCTATGGAGAAATAGAGTTTTATTCATATGTCCTGGGTGATTTGAGCTTTTGAAATGTTCTCATGCGACACTTGCCTTCAGAACACACTGACAATAGTTCCAGGAATCTGCTTGCACAAAACGCACAAGCATGTATACAGATGAAAAGAATCTATCTGAATAATGTCATCTACAGTGTAATAAAGCAAATGCTTTGGGTAGGAACAGAGCTGATGGAGCCTGTTTTCTAAGCGACCTGGCCCTGGTAAGCTAACACCTGGGATTACAGACTAGAAAACTCTCTGTCAATACATGATGGCTCCCATCCTCATTGCTTTGGTGGCCAGGTTTTGTCACGAGGGAGACAAACTGTACTGATGCTTTCCAGTGAGGATGCTTCTGACCTCTATTAGCTGGACTGCCATTCAATGCTAAATAATAAGCCTTATAAAATGACAGCACCAACTGAAAAGGTCGATTCACACAGCCCTCTTTCCTATGATAGACGACTTATTTTATGCTACAGGAACTTAGGCCATAAAACAGGATAAGAGAACTAGGTCCACATATATACACAAGGACATGGTTCTGTGTGTGCATCGCCTGGGATGGACCAGAGTCTTATGAGAGTCAGGGGGGCACTCCAGGAGCTGCGAGCCCATGCCCTGCCTTCTTGTGCTCTGAAGAAAAGCAGTGCAGGAGATTTTTTTTTTAACTGATTAAATAGTCTTTCAAAGACAATTACTTGTGCTCCCTTTATTTCAATCATGTATGTTTAACTAAATCTCTAACTGTTACCAGTTCAGAGGGGGCTTCTGTTTACACAGTTCACAACGTTCACAGCATCTTCACTAAACTATTTCTACCTTCAGGAGTGTAAAATGTTGACTATTCTCTCTCTCTCTCTCTCTCTCTCTCTCTCTCTCTCTCTCTCTCTCTCTCTCTGTTGTAAATGTATTTTTAAGGCAAATATTCTTATTTTCCTTTACTGGAAGGTCACAGAATGCTAAAGGATTTTGCAAGTCAATTCATTGAGGGAAAAAAAACAAAACCAAAAACAAAACCAAAATCAAAAAACAACAACCAGAGAGCTGGGTTAGAACAGCCCAGTTTAGGTTGAGCCCAGCAGTCCTAAACACACAGACAGAACCAATCACTCACCAGGCCTGCTTCCAGCATTGTACTGTTAACAGCAACAAAGGGGAACCTGGGACCAAGAAGGAAGAGCATCTGTCCCAATAAAAAGGACAGGGGTCCTCTCTTTAAAGATTTACCTGAAGGGAGAACTAACAGCCTTAAAGTATTGGGGTACTTCAGCCATCTGTATTTCTTTTCTAACCAACTAAAACTACAGAAAAGCACCTCATGAGTAGAGTGCTCTATACCCTGAAATAAAATCACCCAGAACATCACAGAAAAGCACAGAAAAACACCTCATGAGTAGAGCGCTCTACACCCTGAAATAAAATAACCCGGAACATCACAGAAAATCTACAGTTGCGATGCTCGCTAGCGGAGCAGTTCTTAACATTGATCCCATGGAAAGGTAAGACAGAAAGAACCAGAGTCCGGGTTCACAAAGCACAACTGGAATAAGAGAATCGACTCTATCTTGGGTGGTGACAGGAGCAGTCCACGCAGGAGAGGTTCTGGCTGCTGGTTAACCAGCCCTTGGGTGTCTGGGAACTGGGCTGATGAGAGTGCCTGCGGGATATTTTCACACAATGAAACCAAATTTCCAGCTCAAAAACACCAGTAACTTCATGTGGCAATTACCAATTCACCAAAACAGCATTTGAAAGGCAGGGCCAAGTGTGTGGCATGCTTGTGAACTAGATTAAACCGCTAGACCGGTAATTAACTAGCGTTCTGTGGGAGAGTGCCCTCGCTCAGACCTGAGCAATAGTGCTCACTTCAGAAAGGCAACTTTAGCACAAAAGCACGAGCAATGTCTAGGCTTCAGTCTCAGCTCACCCACTGCTCACCCAGCTACAAAACCGGGGTGCCAGGGACTTCCCTGGAGCCTTAGAGGGGATCAAGACTGTGACATAATGTGAAGACAAAAGAAGCCCCAGCCTGGTGTCTTCTGCAGTGAGTCACACTGCTTGCTCTTGTATCAGCAAACAAGTCCCTACCATTTCGTCGACAGAGATATTTCGATAACAGTCATTGCCACAGTGCCAAGTGCCTTTTACTAGACAGCCTGTTGAAAGACTGCCTGGCATTTTGTCATAGTGACAAGCCACTACATCATGTCCCGGACGTTCAAGGACCTAAAATATTAGAACAGAAAGTGTTCTTTTCTCCAAGTTCATCTATGCCGTGACTCACGTCAGCACTGTTTACTTCTTACGGCTGGAAATACGTGTGCAAACAAAAGAGCCATCGACAGTGTTCACTGCCCAATTATAGTGTCTTACCTGCTATTGGAAAATAAAACAGTCAACTTTTCAAGGGTCTTAGAGAAGGCTCTGTAGGTAACGCTACTTGCCAAGACCTGGCAACCTGAGCCTGAATCCAGGAACCCAGGAAAAGGTGGAAAGAGATAAATGACTCTGATCTCATACGCATGCACACATACCACAAATGTAAAACTAAAACCAAACTAGCCCACATCCACATATTTATTCCAACCCATCACATAAACCTAGTTTCCTCACTGAGATTAATCCCAATAGAAAGAGTCACACACTACCTAATCCTAGGAAGGCTCAGATCATGAGGTACAGTCACACGGCCTGGAGAATGCAGGTGGCAGGGGAAGCTCTATTGTAAGCAATTCTGAATTTTCACTGAGGTTACCTGAAGAACCCAGAAACAAAAAAGAAAAAAAACACCACACAGAGTGCCCAAAGTGGTCAGCATGGCCAGCTGTTCCCCATGCAGGCTTCGTGACACCCACTTGGGATGACAGGGGAGGGGAAGAGAACAGTGTCTCGGTGTTAGTGTTTATGGAGTACATTTCCAGGGCCATGAAAAGCCAAGACCAAAAGAGGTTCACTTGCACAGCCTGGAGAGAACATGAAGATGATACACTCTGGAAGCCAACCTACGCAGATGTCTAAGGGTAGGCCAAGGCCTGATGGGGCATGGCTTTAAGCTTCACAACTAATTGGAATAAAACATCTCTTGATCTGCATAAAATGTATTAATTACATATTTCTGCTATTAATATAAATTAAGATGCTTTGGGCCGACTTGGATTTCACCCTGTATTCCCAAAGATTTATTTACTGGAATCAGCAACAGATTCTTTATAAAATCTTACTGGAGAACAATGAGTACTTTTATTTGATAAGGTTTAGTGCTGGGCATAGATGCAGATGACTTCAGCTTATTACAACATGGCTTTTTTTTTTCCCCAGACAGGGTCTCACTGTGTACCTCTGTCTGGCGTGGAACTCTGTATTTAGACCAGGCTGGCCTTGAATCACAGCCTCCCCAGCTCTGGGACTAAGGGTGTGTTGTGCATCATCACACCTGAATATTCCAATACAACCTTAGGGGTAGAAGGGTAGGGAAAACTTCTCAAACCGCCACTAAAACTGACCTGTCATCCTGGAAAATTATTTTATAAACATAAAGTGAGTGAGATTTATAATAAATAAGATGCGGTACCAATAAGAAAACTCCCATAGTACCAGAATTTATGTAGGAACAAAATGCAAATTTTTGACCTAAGAATTTGGTTTTGAGGCTAGGGAGATGGGTCAGCTGGTAAAGTGCTTTTCATTCAAGGATAAGGGCTTCAGTATGGGTTGCCAGGCACGTGTGGAAAGCTAGGTCTGGCCACGTGCCTGAAATCCCAGTGTTGGGGAGGAGGAAACAAGAGGCACTGGGGTTGACTGCAATTGGTGAGCTTCAGGTTCAGTGAAAAACAACTGTCTCAAAAGGTGAAAAGCAATAGAAGGCACCCAGTATTGACCTCTGGCCATTACAGGCTGAGGCCAGTGCTGCTGGAGAGCTCAGCTGAACCACTCTGCTAGGCGCCACTCCCGTTACAGTCACCCTGCATCTCAGTCTCTCTAAGGACCACTTGTTGGCAGGTGTCAGGAAGGAATGCCTCCTAGATGGCGCGACAGTGTCCTATGGAGAAATGAACTTGCTCCAGAAGTATGGTTATGTCCTTGAAGTAACAGTAATTTAAGCAAACGAGGAAAAGAAGTTACCTTGTAGATGCCGAAGAAGCCCAGATCTCGCACCACAGACAGAGCACTGACTCTGGGGCCAGTGGTGATCTCTCCAGCCACTTGCAAGCGGATCTTGACAATTTCTAAAGGATTGGTGAAAATTACCTGGGAGCCTCCTGCCTAGAGGGAAAAAAGAAAAGTGTAAGGTCAAAGCTGAGGCATGCTAATGGGGCAGGAAAGGAAGAGCAACGTCTTTGAATGAAGTTTAGGACAATCTGTCCTCACAGGACAATTTTTTCACATCCTATCCAACAATCAAAACAGATGGTGGATCAGCAAGATGGCTAGGTGGGTGAAGGTGCTTGCCATCACGCCTGAATACTCGACTTCAATTCCTGGGACCTACATAGGAGAAGAAGAATTGCCCCCAGTCAAGTTCTGTGACCTCCACTTATGCATGCCCACATGCGAGCGTGCACACACACATGCAATTAAATTTAAAAAAGAAATAAAAAATGCAGCTAGGAAATAAGTGTAATCAAAATCCAGGGGTGGCCAGAATACTTCAAGTACAGAGGTCCTGCCTCCTCAGTGTGGAGGAGAAGAGGAGACAAAGGCCAGAGGAAGGCTACTGTTGACCCCACTCACACTGAAATGACAAGGAATCTCCAGTGGCAGGAACAAGGCCTTGGCATGCACAAGACTCCTTGTTTGATCCCCAGCACCAGAAAACAAAACTGCTTTCAGTAGGATAACCACTACAACACCGAAAGGCAACTGAAGAGAAAATAATCAAGTAACAGCAGGATGCTCAAATACCACTTGATGGGATTACTCTCGCCATTTTATGTATGTATCGCCTGGGAGTAGAATCACTCTACATAAACTAAGTGATATGTCAAAATGGTAAAAACATGAATTAAACCCTGTATACTGTATGTTCATTTGCTCCAGTGAGAGTTGGATACCACACCCCTGAGATCACCAGTGAAATATTTAAATACAGGAAAAAACCTCATGTTGAAGCTAAATCCACATAAGTTACAAGCAACTATGATTTTCTTAATATTCTTTAATTTGTTATTTCTTAATCACAAATACAAGTTTTATATGATCCAACTAAATTAATCACAATGCAACACAATTCTAAATATTTACTACGCGATGATGTCACCGACACCAGACCACAGCTACGAGGTTAGCACAGCTTACAAGATGCCATCACAGAAACAGATAAATTGTGGTTGACATCAAACAAAAGTGCCTCCTGGAAGATTTTTACTCAGGACTCAGTGCATGCACCGTCTCAAATTATCTGTTGGTATTCAGTGGAATGCATTAAACTATAATGGTGGTCTTAGAATATAATGAGAGATATTTATAATGAGAGATGAGAAACAAGAGCTGTGTTAAAGTTCAATGTGCCTGCTGAGTGGAAAGGGTCATAGCATACACAGAAGACTCACACCAAAGGGATACTACAGAGGTGATAAAATTAGAGTTTATTTTTTTCTTGATATATTTTCAATTTCTATATAGATCATGTGTTACGAGGAAAATGTTAATTTATAAAGTGGAAGAAAATGTTCATTACTGTTTCTCTCTTTTCAACAATTTAATACTGTGGTAACTTGAATAGGTATGGCCCTCATAGATTCATGTATTTGAATGCTTAGTCCATAGGGAATGGAACTCTTAGGAGGTATGGCTTTGTTGGAGTAGTTGTGGCCTTATTTGAAGAAGTATGTCTATGGGACAAAACTGTTGAGAGGATTCACTAGGATGGAATTAGCCTAAGGGCTGGTTTCGCTCAGATTTTAGTTGTTTTCAGAGTAGAGAAAACTTTCATGGAGCATACAGTGCAAGGGATAGGAGGCTAGCATGCAAAGAGACATTGTTGCCTGCAACCCTAATGATTTCTCAAAGCCCCAATCAGGCAGTCCAACAGGTTCTCAAGCTGGCCCTCTCACAGCAGGTAAGGAGGCAGCTGAACGTCCCATGTGAAGACACAGCATCAAGTCACTTATCTGGCAAATCGCCGCATTCAGTATAAAGAGCAAAGAAATGCTGACTATGTATCAGCCTGCTGCTTAAGGCAGAGCAGTGGCTCTAATGTTTAGGGTCCAACTGCCTTCTCTTAAGGCGCTGGTTCTGTGCCCTGGCCACGTCATATTCAACTGCAGAGCTGTAAGGGGTAGTGACGTCTAGATTCTACATCAGATAACTAATTAAGAATTTCTGTATCTCAGCTTGCTAAAATTCTTCCTATGTGATTATGCACATTGAGGACTGAAAATTCTCTTCACTATGCAATCTGTAGGATACCTGTCAATTCTGAGGGTTTGCTCAGCTTTTATGAAAGCTATGATTCTAATTCCAATCTCCCATATTATTTCAGAGAGTAGCTTTTGTTTTCCTTTGATCTCGCAGTCAAGCATTGCCATTATCAAAGGTATAATTTTTAGGCACAGAATTGTCTCATTATTTAATTTCTTTACAAACACCTGTAAAACTTAACAATGTATCCAATAAAATAGGAACTTATTCTCAACTCCCTAACTCCAACACAATAGACAGATATGAGTTCTTAGGACTAGCAGAGCTTGCAAGTTAATATAGATAACACAAGAGAAAAAGTATATTTCATAGGACTGCTGGGATTAGATGTATTAGAAAGAAATTGTAGTGGTACCAGGAAAATGGAATGATATCTACCTAGCTTTTGGCAGACTAAGAAATAAAAACCCTATGGACCCAAAGCGGCACACTGGAAAGGTATCAAAGATGAAAAAGATCCTTTGGAGTCCAGCTGGAGGGAAATGAGACTTGAAGGCACAGAGCGAAGATGCTTATCATTAGACGCAGTGTCTGGGCATCTTCAGAGCTTGATCACTGCACAGCACACTCACCGCCTGCTGCTCCAACTCCTGCTCTATTGTCTATTCACATCCCTCCTCGGTAGAGATCAAAGACGCCTCAAATGGGCCAACAATGAACAGGAACGCCTATTATACACAGGGCCTTTGTGTCCCTCATCACTTGAGAACTCTGGCTGTGTGAAGATACTGGCTTTTGTGGACATGTGATTTTTGTCACAAATCATTTTCTTATGACTTTCTGAAGTCTCTGGTGGAAGAAGACCTGCGATACTGAACTTACAGTGGCATACTGTACTTACAGTGCGGGCATTGACTTCTTCACGGGTTTCCTGCTCTAGTTTCTGCTACTGAAAGAAACAGACTTGCTGTGGAGGTTTGAATGACAAATGTCCCCCTTAGACTCAAGTATCTGAAACCTTGCTCCCAAGTTGGTGGCATTGCCAGGAGAGATCCCAGGGAGGGGTAGACTTGATGGAGGAAGTACATCAAGAGGGGGGATGGGCTTTGATAGTTCAAAGTCTTATCCCACTTCCAGTTTGTCCTCTGCTTCCTGCTAGCTCTTACAGATCCACACTTCTCAGCTTCCTATGTCTGCTCTCACACTTATCACGAGCTTCCACCCCTCCCTGCCATGAAGGGCCTGTGTCTCTCTGAAACCAAAGGCCAAATAAACTCTTTCTTCTGAGTGCTTTTGGTCATGATGTTTCATCACCACAGCAGAAAGCATACTGATACACTTGCTTCTCCTCTCGAATCTTTGTCCACACACTTATTTATCCAAGTGTTTCACAAACACTCGCGTTCAAATTGTGCTAAGATCACGGTGAGGTGTCATGATACCTTGTAACCTCAGCCTTTAGAAGACAGAAGAATGGACACATGGAAAATCTGCCACACTTTTCTTTCTTCCAAAAAATAAAATAAAGCAAAGTTCATCCTAGGGATGTTGGAAGAGCAAGAAAGCAGCCCTGTCCTTAGAGAACACAAAGTAAGAGCAGGGATAATAATAATAATAATAATAATAATCATCATCATCATCATCATCATCCATTTAGCGACCCACATGGGCCACTTGGGCACTGGTTGGCATCTTTACAACAGGGTAAACACAGAAAAGTCAGAGCAGTTGTTATCAATTCAACAATTTTACCAAAAGTCACAGTCGACTATGACGAAGCTGAGATATCTAACCGTCTACACTTCGAAAAGTGTATGTATTTGGAAATGAAGTTTCCAAAGAAGAGAATTAAATTAAAATGGGTTTTATTGTTGTTGCTTTGTTTGTTTTTAAGTGGGGAGAAAGACAGGGTCTTGTTATATAGCCCTGGCTGCCTGGAACTTGCTCTATAGACAACACTGGCTTCAAACTAACGTGATCTTTTTGCCTCTGCCACCTGAGTGCTGGGATTTCATGATCCACTAAAATGTAGTCTTTAAGGAGGACCTTAATCCAATCTTACTAATATTCTTATAAAAAGAGGAAATTAGGGGGCTGGAGAGATGGCTCAGTGGTTAAGAGCATTGCCTGCTCTTCCAAAGGTCCTGAGTTCAATTCCCGGCAACCACATGGTGGCTCACAACCATCTGTAATGAGAGCTGCTGCCCTCTTCTGGTATGCAGACACACACAGACAGAATATTGTGTACATAATGAATAAATAAATATTTAAAAAAAAAAAAAAAAAAAGAGGAAATTAAACACAGACATACAGTACCGAGAAATGACCATATAAGGACATGGGAAAAGCTGGCTTAGCACTTAGAAAGCTAAAGGCAAGAAAGCCACCATGAGTTTCGGGTCAGCTTGGGCTATACAATAGAGTTCCAGGATAGACTGGGCTATCCAGTGAGACCTATGCCCACAAAGTAAAACTATCACAGAGCCAAGGAAGGAGGCCTCAGAGAACCAACACCACGGATCAGCACCTTGGTCTTGGGACTTCTCGACCCCAGATATGTGAGAAAATGCACGTCTGTTGTCTCAGCCCACCGGACTGTAGCTAGCATGTCTGTTGTCTCAGCCGATCAGACTGTCTCCGCCGACAGGACTGGAGCTAGCATGTCTGTTGTCTCAGCCGATCAGACTGTCTCCGCCGACAGGACTGGAGCTAGCATGTCTGTTGTCTCAGCCAATCGGACGGTAGCTAACACGTGTGTTGTCTAAGCCAATCGGACTGTAGCTAGCTAGCACTAGCATTTTAGCCGCCCCTGCATATTAGACCAGCAGTTTACCCAGGGCTACAGAACAGCAAGCAACAGAGAAGGCATGTGAGAAAAATAATTAGCATAGATGACAGAGTTA